TAAATCGAACAATCTAAACCAACAGTTTAAAAATAATGCGTATTTCCAGCTTTCACAGTTGCAAAGAAAAATTTTAGATGTGCAGTAATTTGCTGGAGATTTGATAGCTGGGAACTGTTCATTAAAAAAAAACAAAAGCCCAAATAGAACAAAGTGTCAAATCAACTCTCTCACAAATGATTTTAAAATAACTCAGATAAGCCTACATTGCTTTTGTTCCTCCAGATACTGAAAGCCAAAAGTATCCCCTGTTGACTGCCAAAATTCCATGTTTTCCTAGTATACCATACATTGTCAAGACAGTTGCATATTAAAATGTGGCAATAGCATGAAACAATGGACTTCTTAAAATTTACATCTAAATTATGTGGTGGTTTGTTTTTTGCTTTTGGTTTGGGTTTTTTTAAATAAACCTGAAATCAGTAATTAGAACATTTGATACCAGTATTTCCACCAGTTCAAGAATCCAGGAAACTCAGCAGTTTGGTCACTTGGAAAAAAGTGACATTCCTTATTGGCACAGAAACATAAAGAAGTTACAGCAAGGCAAGAAAGTTAGAAAGTTACAGCAGACTAACAGCTTTGCAGCAGTGATGCAGGTCCATGTTTCAACCTTGCTGTAAATGCAAAGTGTAGCGGTACACATTTGGGCAGTTATCAAAGTAAAGGTAAGGGCTTTAAATTCACGTGTTGATCATTTGTGTGCTCAAGCCATCAAAGACTGGAAATGACACCACAATACAACATACAGAAGAAGTTCTTAACATCCTTAATCACAAGGCACTCAAAAAATAAAAGTAACAGTATGCTGTTCACTACGTTTAAGTTTTGACACTTCATATTCATCAAAACCTGGGCTGACTTCTCTCATAAAAAAAGATATTAAGATACAAGGCTTCAACATGATAGCAGCAAAAATTGTTATTAATGCCTAGAGAATGTGCAGTGAACGACAGATTTCCAAACACGTTAAGTGAACATGAAGGAAGAGATAAAACATTCTGTGGAGCACATCTGAAGTGGAGTTAGATCTGTTGCATTTTCATACTGCAAAAATATTTATAGCATGTTTTATGAAACAATATTCAAAAAAGAGATCACTAGAACATTATTTTAAAGGTATTCATAAACATAAAGCAATTGATGTGCACAACTGTTTCCAAGTAGAAAAGAATGTTATTTCTGTTTATATAAAATCACAATCTCTTCTGAGAATATGCAGTAAATTAGAAAAAGTAGTCAATGTTCAAAAAAACCCCATGATTAATTTTTCAGTAGGTTTAATCTTGGCCTCCAATTTGCAAAAAATCAAGAAAGATACTTGCATTATGTGGCTATAATCAAGAAATTTTAATTGCAACCATTATACCTGCAGGGCTATATGCTGCTTCCTTGTAATATTTAGAACAGGAAATTAACAGCAGTAATTTCATGATATCCTCTAATACGTTTTAAAAGAAAGAAGTGCTTTGAAGAATAATTGTTCAGAGTAACATGCTAGCTATATTTAGAAGCAAGGCTTAAAAAGTTAGAGGTTATACATACACAGCTGAAAAAACAATTTAGACAGCAAGCTTTTCTCAATAGTGGAAAAGTATTCATAAAACATTATGCAGAAATAATGTTAAAGAATTTCAGGACTAAAGTATGTTTCAAGTGGAATTTGAACTCTGCAGGCAGTTTTAGGACAAAAATTCTGCTAAACTGGAAATTGCTACTAAACTTTAGATATACAAGTTTTGAACTGATGTTAAAGTCCTTCTAGACACTGAAACAGCAGTCATATTTCAGTGCACCCACTGACATTTAAGAACACATTCCTATTTGTATTTTCAAATTTTTAATTCCAGTACTCTTCCAGCCCCTTTTTTGGTCTCAGACTACATTTATTCCAATACAACATGTTTCCCAGCAGTATGAAATTATATTTGGATTTTCCCAAAGTGGAGATTCTCCCTTCATTCCAATTTTGCCTTTTTTTTGAGCACAGACAAATTAGACTCCTCCAAGAAAATAACCACTGCTAATTGTACTCCAGAATATCTGTGTTACAAGCAGAGTGTTTGAAGGAACAGCCAACAAAAACACCAAGTCAAGAAGAAACCTGCTCTGCTTACCCCTGTCTCAGTTCCGTCTTCCTAGTTTATAATACTGCATGTTTCCCTTAGTGCACCTTACACCAGGACACTGAATGAGTGAACAATGCCTAATTAAAGCGAATACCAATATTTTCTTGGTGCAGACGCACCCCAATCAAAACACAAAACCAGATTACCATATTGTCATTATAGTCCCATATCCATAGCTTTATAGTTCACATTTTTTTGCTCTGAAACATACAGATTCTGAACAGTTTGAAGACATTCATTCTTTTATTATATAACTAACAGTTCAGTCCCTCTCCTACTTTTTTCACAATTATATCCTTCTTATTCCTCAAGTTAGCTGAAGTATTTTACTCAACTACTTGGTCTATATCCAAAGCATTTCTGTATGCAGAAAGTGGATTAACCTATTTTTATTAATAAGGAAGGAGTTTTTTTAACCCTCTATTCAATATTATTCAAGAAACTGACTTCCTAAGAAGCCTCTATGCTTTAATGCATTTCAAAAAGTATTTTGGTACCTTATCTAAAAGATTTGCTAAATCAGAAGATTTTACCAGTTCTATTTTCAGCTTCTACCACTAAGTTATCAGATCCATTTTTCAGGTCAGACAACAACATTAACTACCATAAGAACCCTCTGGCTGTTATTCTCAAGTCTTAAATCAGTGCAGGCAACTGCTGGCCTAAAGATAAATTTATTCAGGAGGTTATGGTGCTGATGCAGCTTAAACTAGAGTCATCTTGAATACATCAGCGCTTATTAATTCTGTTTTGGAGGTGGGCCTAAGCTTATTCCAGCAGATGAGTTTGAGTACACAAGTTGTACTCCATGTCACTCCAAGGACGCTTGCTAGCTAGGTTGCAAGGTGCCCTGAACACAGCAAAGTATCCAAGAGGATGGAAGTAAGAGAAGCTGGTGAGCCCAAGACAGGCCTTGCAGTAACTATGTTGATCTGTACAGTATCACTCCATGGAGTTCCTGGCCTCAAGCTATGCTACTAACCATGTCAGATGACAAGAAATCCATTATCTTATTGTTCCCTTGTACTGGGAGAAAGCCTGAATAACTAGTTAGTACACAAAAATTGCAGCTACCTGACTACTCCCTCTCCTGTTGTCTGGCCTAGATTACTCATGTTCCTCCATTACATCCACAGAAGTAACCTTTCTGGGACTCTTCCAATAATGTTTTTGGTCACTGTACATTTAAACTGATTTTCATGAGAACAAAAGTAATTTTCTCATGAAAACAGCACGATAAGACCAGATAGCAAAATATTAACTATCCATACCCCAAAATTAACGGTTAGATTCAGCTCATGTAACTTCAGGTGCCTAGGCTCCCATTATAGTCACTGGAGAGCTAGTCAATATATCCCATGAGGTCATCACCTCAACATGAAACAGCAGACATTTAGGTTTCACTGGCTATTTTTAATAGAGCTCCACTGACTGCAATTGGAACATAGAACCTCAGATGCAGACATTCATGCTCTATGTATCTTAACTGGAAATTTACTTGCCATGTATTACCATTTTAGATGCCACAGGCTGCCACTTCAGTGCCATGTGTCTCCTTTACATCCTGTGTGATGCTCAACAGCCCTATGCAGATGTCCTATGGCCTCTTAAGTGGTGGAAAGCAATTGTATTTGAAGAATAGGCATCAGTTGCCCAAATTAGGCAAGATGCAGTCCACTCAGTTTCTTTGTGTTTTAAATGAAACTAACATTGAATTGCTTTAAAAAGCTATTTATGAGACTCAGATTTTTTTCAAGAATATCTTTCATTACCTCTAAGCATACACGCAAAAATATAAATTAGGTGTTATTGGACTAAACCTGGCGACCACAACAAAATACAAAGCATTTAGCATGTAAATCACACTGCAGCAAATAAGAGAACATTACTTTCAAGTTAACTGTATTATTGCACTCATAAGCTTCTCACCTCTCCACTTCTAGACAGGGTTACCTTAGGCCACTGATTTTAATACAGCCTGATTTTAAGCTGTAAGTGGTCAAGATGTGTATGGTCAAAGGTTTTTCTGTTTTCTATAAGAAACGCATTCCTTTCTGTATCTTTTCATTTTCATTCCACTTTGTCATTTTGCTTGATTGATAAATGCTATTACAACTGACAAAAGTTGGGTCAAGAGCAAAAGAACATAAGATTACGGCAGAATTAATGCATTTGAGAACCTTAGTACCTAGAGAGAATGAAGCGATTTACCTCAAAAGTGCTGATAAATTTGTCCTCAGGATTGCAGAAGTCCAATAGTATGTGTAGCAATAAACTGAAAAGCCCCCTTACAGTGCACTTCTGGTTACTAAAACTCACCAAGAACAACTCATCAAGTACAGCCACTGATCATTTCATTCTGTAAGCAAACGCAGCTTCCGAGGGGTTCATGCCTAAGCATAAGCCTACTCAATTTTATTTAGGCCTTTTAAGATGCCAGGACTCATCTCAAATGCTGTTAAAAGATGGCTACTACAGAGTTTCCGATTTTAAGATTCACAACCACATTATAAAGGCATAACTCTGGAAAAAAATTAGAGTTTTAAAACAAAACACAACTACAGTTTAGAGCCTGCTCATTGGAAAGGATGTAATAGGAGGGCCACAGTTCCTTTTAAAGCACAGATATTTAAGATACATACTTAAGCATTAAACATACTTTTTTTACAGTCGTTTTGAAGCATTCTAAAATATCTGAGAATCAAATTTATATTAAATTCAGCAAACATTACATACCTCAACAGCTGGAACAATATCTATGCCAACTGTCAGAAATTCTTCAAACTTCAGAAATGGATTAAAGCAGCTACCAACATCAAGTAATCTGATCTTCCCCAAGGAGTGGAGCAATCTAAGAAGCAGCAAGAATTCAGTTTTATCAAGTGTTATTTTTGAAGTTATAGTCTGAATTACAATTTCAGATAACTAGTGCAAAAAATTTCTCAAACACCACAGTAGTGACTAATAGAAGTGAATGCCTTACTTGAATTGCTGAGATACCTAAAGAACCAAGCTCCATCAGTAAAGCAGATGGTCCTCAAGCGGAAAAGTTTATGTTCAGAGCAGCTGTAATACTATTAACTTAAGTAATTGCAGTAAGAAACTAGAACAGCAATTTATGCGTCCACTAGACAGGCTTTCTCTATTGCTTTGTTTCCCACTTACCTTTTTGTGGTATTTATTGGTGTTGAAGTCACACAAGTCATGAGAGGTAAAATTTCAGGTGTTTAAAAGAGAAACTGACAACAAAAAAAGCAGCTGACAACACCCCATGACCTACCTACTTGTCAGTCCCATTTTAAAGGGCATCTGAAGTCAAGTGCCATAAGTGGTTTAATAAAGGCAAGAGAACATGTAATGGTATTCCACGGTAAACAAACAAACAAAAAAATGTAAAAATGAAAGCATTTAGTTATTCCCTGCAAAAATTTTAAAATATTTTGTTTGCTTTATGTTAGCTAATATTTTTTAAAATGCTGTAGGTTCACTCCAATTCTGTTTTCAATGGATGCTGTAAAAGAGTTAGATCACTCCATGCAGAGCTACAAACTTAAACTGGCTGCTCAAGTTGTAGGGAAGTTATTCTAAACATCTAACTGAACTGAAATATTCCCTCAAAACTACTTGGGGGTGTTGGTGGGGGGGAAGTCTATTTCATGCCATGCAATCAGCTTTCTTTTGGAGTATCCAAAAGCTTTTTAATGAGAAATAGTCAAAAACAACCATCTGGTTTAGCAAGGAGAGTCCTAATCAGAGTACTTCTGAAGTACTCAAAAATGAAAATTTATCCAATAAGAATTCTGGAGAACATTTTAGTAAGCCAAAAATCTATCTCCTTATCTGCCACTGTGTGATGACCCTACTACTCAAGGTGAAATTATAGATAAGGTGGTCAGTGGTTGTAATGCTAAATACTTAACTATGCTACCAAACAACAAAAGGTGAATGATTAAAAAAAAAAAAGGTGGGGGGGCAGGGGATTAACTTGAGAAATCATGACTTACTGCTTGGACTGACAGAGCTTGACAGACTGCTGAGGATACTTCAATACTTTAGTTCTGGAATGCTGCAAAGATGCACATATACCCTTCCAAAATGTCATGGAAAATGAAAGAAAAAAACCACACCGAATAACTGGCCCATCTTCTCAACTAGATTCCAAAACTTCCTGGGGTAAAAAAAACTGGAGGAGTGGAAGATCAGAAAGAAAATAGCAGACTGAAGAAACAAAGAGAGGACATTCTTGTACTGTCTGGTGGAAGCTCCCATTATAGCACAGCAGAAGATATGCTAGAGGCTGGCAGATGAGAATTGCCTTTTCTTGGGAAGCTCTGACATCATCTGTGACCACCTGCAAAACCAATCTGAAATGCCTTTATGAAAATAAAGACATCATTGCTCTTTTCTTGAAGTTAAATATATAGTTTAAAAAAGAAAAGAAAAAAAAGATGCCTGGCAACTTTTGAGGATAGTGACTGCTGCCTTGCCTCTGAAAGCATTCTTATCTTCCAAAGGATAGTCTCCTTGACCAATACCTAGAGGAACATTTGTTGTCTTCAAGTTTGCAACCATAGGCATTTTCTTCATGATTAAGGCTGTTACCAGTATAATATAGTATCAGATAAGATCAATGTACCGTACAGAAGTACTGGCAGTCAGCTATCTCGTTATTTAAAGGTTTTGCCTCATCCTGGCACTTAGTTTGTCTAACCTGATACACTGTCCATCTTAAAAGAATTAGAATTTGAATGTTGCACTCGGTCATCACTAATATCAAAGACTCAGTTGTTGAATACATCCTACAAAGACACTGTTCTTCATTTTTTAATTTTCCTTGCATTCTGAATTTGGAGGCCCCTGCTGTTTATTCTTTCTTTGCAACTGCAACAAACCAATAAATGCGGGAGTTAAACAGTTCTGTTCAAGTCAGCTAGTACAGACTTTACATCTGCCTGTTCTCCAAAACACAACTTCATGAGTGCATCCATGTATCAAAAAAAAAAAAGAAAATACACAGCACCACTAGCACCCAACAGTTTAAGCTCTTTCTATCGGATCATTTCCAGGGCTGCATCTAAAAATTTTCATCAGTATTTGTAAGATCTTAGAATACCCAAAATTCATTAATAGAGGCAAACAAACATGAACTCACAGATTTCACAGGGAATTAATAGGGAGGTGAATTATATCTTTCCAGCAAGCAAATGTTGCTTTTTGCTTCAATTTTCTGCAGCCAATTCCAACTGGCATCTCCAAAACATCATTTGTCATCTTTCTGGGAAAGATTCAGCACTAAAAAGACAGATAACTACAAAAACTTTCAGAAACAGATCTGCAGGACCAATGGAGTCCAACAAAGCCATGGTTGTACTCATAGCAACAAAAAAGCAGTAAGGAATACTGCAGAAAAAAGTCTTTAAGCAGCAATAAAGAGATCTGGAGTCTCTGTGCTCCTCCTAAACTCCCAGTGATCTACCACAGAGAGGATGCTGGAGAAGCAAGAGAAGATTTCTTGTTGCATTTGGCAGAATGATAATGCAAAGTTGAAGGGTTTTGCTTCTACATGGAATAGAAGATATCCAGGGGATACTTCTGTCAAAATACCAGCATCACCATGGCAAACAGTGCAACAATTATCTTTAAGTTAAAGCCACGCATATTACCAGGCTACGCTGTAAGTCAGTCAGTACTGAGTAAGATTTCAGAATGAAGATGATAGCAACAATTTTTTCCCAGCTTGGATGCCAATCACAATGTAACATGTACGACAGGAACTTGAATACTGCAGAGGGACCATTCAGATCCTAGCAGCCAGAAATCACAAACATGGGCTGAAGTCAAGTAGTGTCTTTTTCCACATAAGGCTAGTATGACATTTCTCAGACCAGCACGTCTCCTTGTCTAGCAAATGGAGATACTAATGGCAGATTGTCTCATTCAAACAGAAATCTATGTCTGTATGTACGCTTGCGTTCTACATAAGAGTCCAATGGTAACAGCAAAAGAATAGAAGACTTATGAGACCACAGGAAACACAAGAGTGAACATGACTCTATAGTGCAGAGAAAACTTCCCGTAAAGAAGAGTGACAGCCTCTAGAGATCTTAAAATTTTCCATTTAAAGTGTTTGATGAAATACTTGTACAGATTAAAATTAAGGAGCACAACACAGAACCCTCTAATCTCCAGGAGAGCCCACTTCACCTACAGTAGAGTGAAAAATCACTGTGATGTATTCTGTCTTCCTCTCTTACAAAACCTGCATTCTTGGCTGGAGCATTATTTTTGACTGGGTGTAGGGGGACACAACTTCAGCCTACTACAGCATCGGGGCACACTTCTGGAAAGCTACAATTCTGGATTCCAAGCTGAGCAGAAGCCACAAACTCTTCTACACTAATGGACAACAGATCTAAGACATTTGATACAGGGCAAACTCACTCCGATAGGTGTGTCATATCCAAGGAGCCTTGCAGTCTAAGTTCAATGCAAATGTACTTTGAAACCTTAAAAGTAGCAGAGATCCAGATAATCTGGTTCCAAGCAGCAACACTGATATGCCTCAAATCTTTCGTAACATCCACGCATAAAGATATCCAATGGGAAGGTCTAGCTTGCTGAGATACATAGGTTGAATGACAGGTTGTACCTTCAGAGACAGTCAAGCCAGCACCTGAGAAGAATCCATACCAAAAAGGTTGTGATTTTTACCGTTAATAAAAAGCAAGACTGCTTAATTTGATGGGAAAAAGAGAAAGAGAACAAGGAGGGGACTGATTTATTGAAGGGAGGAGCTGTTAAACAGCAGATAACAGCCACTTTTATCTTGCAAGACTGAGCCACTTCGATGTCCAGCTTCACAACAGGTGCAGTTGTAATGTTAGAGACAAAAGAACTCATTCTGGGATGGAAGGAAGTACTGTGTAGCATACATTACTTTTCATATAAGTGAAAGTAAAAAAGGACTGTTCACATTAAAATTGGCAAGTCTCACAGAGATAACTAATCTGGCAGAGAGGTAAGCAGCATGAGCAACTGGAAACGGGTTCAAAGTAGCTGACTGACATTCTGAGTTGCAGTAAACTTTGCACTTCTGGTTCCTATGATGTTTCCTACCATCACCTTTAAGAGCTGGCTGAGTGCTTCCTACTTCTCTCCACATCTCCCAGCGTCTTTTTCACTACCTGTGGAACCTTTTATTCCTGAGCTAGCTTTGCTTTTTACCAAGCAAAGTACAGTCACTTGCCAGTAAAGGTAAGCTCAGAAAGAGCTCCTACATGAGCAGCCTGTTTTTAATACTACTTGAGAGAGGCTTATGTATGGGGAGAATAAAATTATTGTCTTTCCACTTACCAGGGTAAAACAAAAAGTCACAGGCTTAGCCATAGCTATAGACAACTCCACAACTCTTACCTGTGCTGTTACATCACCAGAAGGGAGTGACAGTATTTGACACGGAGGGGGGGGTGTGTGAGGGAGGGAAGAGAGAGCGAGCATGTGCTCCCCAATACCCCTTGTACCAAGACCTCACCAAGATTCAAAGCCTTCACTAATTGATCACTGCAGACATAGTAGAAAAGCATTTCAGGAGAAAAGCGTACTTTGTGTAATACACAATCCATTTTCATTCTGATAAACTCTGTAATTTCTTCTATAAGACACAGAGGAAGAAATTGAATTCTGATTTCTCTGGGCAGTAACCTGGAACAGCTATGCCTTGTTGCTTTAAGGTCTGTGCAGCGACTAAAAAACTTACTACCATTTGTTGCTCAGGTAAATATTATGAATCTTGCCTTTGCCAGGTATGTCTTTATGGGTGGATGTATTTTTGAAGTTTTGATCTGCTGGAGGGTAGGATGGCCCTGCAGAGGGACCTGGACAGGCTGGACTGATGGGCCAAGGCCAACTGTATGAGGTTTGACAAGGCCAAGTGCCGGGTCCTGTAATTCGGTCACAACAACCCCATGCAGCGCTACAGGCTTGGGGA